ATGTAGAAATTTTTGAAATGGTGTATCTTTGGCTATGTATATTTTCACCAAAAAAAAAAAAAAAAGGTTAAGAAGGGAGAGGGTTGACATGTTGTGGGGTTGTTAACCAATGTCATAAAAAAATATGTGTACTACTGTTTCATGAGAAACTATTTGTTCTGTAAGCCTTCACCTGAAGTACAATAAAAAAAAAAAAAGTATGTGAAATAATTAAGGGTAATTATACCAATCCACATACCATTGTTTAAAAATTCTTTTTGGTTCTTTTTTATTGATGATGATACCTTACATAGTTTTAGAGGTCCTTTTACATGCTTTATGTCCTGTGATCCTTACAATAACCTTTTATAGGTAAGGCAGGTATTTTATATTAAGAAAGCTTAAGTTCAAGAAAGTTAAGAGGCTTATGCACAGTTAACTTGCTCATAAATACCAGATTTGAACTCAAGAGTCCAGTTCTTCTATCTCCTAATCTGCTGCTTTTTCGTACTGCACCACAGTCTTTCCAGGCATTGATGTTCCAGACAGTGAATTCATTCCTAGAGTGTAAACATGATAACTTTGGAGATTAATTTCTTAAACATGCTAAGGATTCATAAGTATGGTAAATTTATTGGAGACTCAGTATACTTTGATATATAATATTTGTGAACAATGTTTCTTTTAGTTATATCCAGAAATAGAAATATAATTTATAAATAGGTCTTGAGAGCTTGCACCTGGGTTATAATTGAGCTATCTTATCCTAGACTACTATATTTATCAGTTAGCTTTTTAAAACTTTTGTTCTTTGAAACACTGTTGTTAACCTACTTAGTAATATTTCTTACATCTCTATGCTGCTTGGTTGAAATTCACACATATTTGTGGTGGGGCAGGTAAAGAGATGTGGCATAAATGATATCTGTCAGTTTCCAGATTCAAATCTCAAGTTATATTCATTGATGTTTGAAGTAGATTTTTGAAATGGACATTTTCTGACTTTATCCAAACAAGATTAAAATTATACCCCCAAATTCTGCATACTATAGCTCTTATATGATTTTGACACAATCACCTCCACTTACACCCAGAAACGTTTGTTCTTGACAAATGTTTATGTCCAAATGCATGAATTAAATTAAGCGTCTCATGATATAATTGTATACTTGAGCTCTATCCAGGCATTGAAAAGGATATTTATCCACATGAGTCACAACACTAGAATATAACCTGAGTTTTAAAAACCAGACATTGTTTTGATACATTTTGTTAACAGGACTGTTTTGTCTGGGCTACCATATCCAAGTTCCAGTTATAAATAAATATTCTTGTAGTAGTACTGTCTGGTTTAGCAACTGTTCTCTGCGGGTACTTATCTATCAGTTCTCTTTCAGTTATGCCATGCCTGATACCTCTTGGTTTATGTAGCCTCTCAGTTGTTCTAATGTTTAGCAAATAGTCCACGATCAGATCATCAGTTTTATGTCCTTAGCTGGATGCGTTTGACAAGATTGGTGTGAATAACACAGAAATTCTAACTTTTGATGGTGTTCTGAGCAGATAAGTTATTTTTCTTCAAAAAGAAAAAAAAAGTCACATCTAAGTTGAGTGCCTAGTACTTATCTTTGCATCTTGAAGTATTTGGTGTGATCAGCAGGCTTGACATGAGCAACACAGCAGACAGTTAATTGTAAGTACTCTGTGTGGATATAATAAAGAATGTTCTTGTCCTAGGTGTTGAACGTTGCATCACGGAGATCTCAACCCAGCCAGAGAAGAGAGCCCAGGAAGATCATCACAGTTTCTGTGAAAGAAGACGTGCACCTAAAAAAGGCGGAGAATGCCTGGAAACCCAGCCAAAAACGAGACAGCCAAGCTGAGGATCCTGAAAACATTAAAACACAGGTGAGAACAGAGAAGTACATGCTGACATAGTTTTGGAATTATATGTTTTTTTTTTTTTTAATTCCTTTTAGCCTGTCATTTTAACCTGTTATATATGTGTATATAGCAATGTTTAAGACTTTTTGTAAATTTTTCTTATTAAAAGTATTGCTCTAAAAGCAATCATGGATACCAGACAACCTACCATTTTCTCTTGAAATTGTTTTTTCTGTATGCTTTTTCAAAACCAACACCATGCCTAGAGGGTTCATATGCCATGGACTGTTTCTGTCATTCATGTTTATATTAATATTTGCTTTTTAAAAAGTACATATTTAGATTGTTAATGATAGTCTCTTTACTCTGTGCTAGTGTAGTTAGTATATTTCTTTATGTCTCCTCATCTGGCTCTCATTCCTTATTATTCTAGCTTATTAGCTGGTATTTAGAAACTCATCTTGTTTTGAAGTCTTTTGGGGTGAAAATGAATACTTTGCATCTTTGTTCATATCCTGCCCTTGTACCTTTCGTAGGGCAAATTGAACGAATTCCTTTAATCATCAAAATTATTTTTTGCCTCAAATTACTTAAAGCCCTTGTTCATCTTTTGTTACATACACAATGCTAGTTCCCACCCCTGGGTTACCTCTGCTGTTTCCTTTGGGAATTTTTGCATATAGGCACCAAAATTGCAGTCTCTGCTTGAACTCTTCAACTTCACGCCTGTACCAGAGCCAGGCATCACAGATCAAATACCAGCTTTTCAGTGTCTGAATCCTTGTGTACCTTTCCTCTCACCATGAACAGTTTAGTATAGCAGTTAAGAGCCCCATATCTGGAGGCAGCAGGCCCAGATTTGAGTTCAGGCTCTGTTGGGCAAATTCTTAATCTCAACTGTAAAATAGAAGTACTGACAGTACCTACCTCATTGGGCCATTGTGAAGATTAAATGAGGGAACATAAAGCACTTGGAATGGTTGGTTCCTAGAGCTCAGTTAAATGCTCAGTCTGAAAATGTTCCTAGAGATGTGTCTTATAAATGTTGGCTTTGATTTAGTACCAACATGGAACCTTACACATTGTAGACACTCATTTACTAATAAACAAAATAGTTAGTACAAAGCAGGTACCAATATTACCGGATCCATCTCAAAGCCATGCTGTCAAATATTAATTGACTCCTTGACTTTGTTCATCTTTATAGTGTATTGCCCCAAACATTTGCCACCAAGTCCCTAGGTACATTCTTCTCCCAAATTCACTGAGGTCAAGTCCTTAGTGTTATCTCCATTTTATGCCAACATATCTCAATTTTTTTTTTTTTAAATACTTACCCTTTTAAAAAATAAAAAAAAAAAATACTCCTATATTCCTCTCTCCAATACCCGGAGAAATGCTTAAAGATAATCAGCTTAAGTAGCTTGGAATGGTAGTTAAAAATGTCTGCTAGATCTTCATCATTAAAGATGAAGATGCCTTGCTTTAGTATTTAAGACAGTTGTTGTATTAGTGCCTTATTTCATTTGATGCTTACAACACCTATGAAGAGGGAGTAGATATTGTCCCTTTTTTCCATTTGAGAAAACTGAAGTATCAAGAGATTATTGCCCAGAGTGTTGTGGTTACTGAATAGTTCATTTGTTGTGATTTGTAATCTGCCTCTGTTTTCTCTGTAACAGTTGTTCCCATTATTGATTAATTTCTATTTCAGAAACATAAGAATAATTAATTATATCAACTTGAGGTATCAATTAGCCAAGTTTCTATAGCAAATAGATGCAGCAAATCCAATGGAGTGTTAAAAAACTTCTTTTTTAGGGCCAGTATCACGTCTTTTCTCTCTCTCTCTTTTTTTAAATTGTGCTTTAGGTGACAGTTTACAGCTCAATTTCTCATACAAAAATTTATACGCATACTGTTGTGTGACACTAGTTGCAATCTCTATAACGTGACAGCACACTCCCCCTTTCCACCCCAGGTTTCCTGTGTCCATTCAACCAGCTCTTGTCCCCTCCTGCCTTCTCATCCTGAGTCCAGACAGGAGTTGCTGATTTGTTCTCGTGTATCTGCTTGAACTAAGAAGCACACTCTTTACGAGTATTATTTTATGTTTTATAGTCCATTCTAATCTTTGTCTGAAGAGTTGTCTTCAAGAATGGTTTTAGTTCTGGGTTAACAGAGCATCCAGGGGCCGTAGCTTCCGGGGTCCTTGCAGTCTCAGTCAGACCAGTAAGTCTGCTCTTTTTACGTGAATTAGAGTTCTGCTCCACAGTTTTCTCCTGCTCAGTCCGGGACTCTCTTTGAGGTATTCCCTGTTAGGGAGGTCATTGGTCGTAGCCTGGCACCGTCTAGTTCTGGTCTCAGGCTGAAGGAGTCTCTGGTTTATATGGCCCTTTTATATCTTGGGCTAATATTTTCCTTGTGTTTTTGGCGTTTTTTATTCTCCCTTGCTCCATGTGGGTTGAGACCAATTGATGCATCTTAGATGGTCGCTCCCAAGCTTTTGAGACCCCAGACGCCACGCACTGAAGTGAGATGCAGAACATTTTCTTAATTAACTTTGTTATGTCAGTTGACCTAGATGTTCCCCAAAACCATAGTCCCCAGACCCAACTCCTGCTACTCTGTCCCTCAAAGTGTTGGTTGTGTTCAGGAAACTTCTTACCTTTTGGTTTAGTCTAGTTGTGCTGATTTCCCCTGTATTGTGTGCTGTCCTTCCCTTCACCTAAGATGATTCTTGTCTACTGTCTAGTTAGTGAATTCTCCCTCCCTCCCCCCCAACCCTCGTAACCATCAAAGAATGTTTTCTTCTGTGTTTAAACCTTTTCTTGAGTTCTTATAATAGTGGTCTTATACAATATTTGTCCTTTTGCAACTAATTTCACTCATCATAATGCCTTCCAGATTCATCCATGTTGTGAGATGTTTCACAGATTCATCATTGTTGTTTATCGTTGCGTAGTTCACCAACTTTCTCTTGACTCATTTTCCAGATATGGAACAATTTGCTCCTTTCCCTGTCTTGTTTGATGTTTTTATTCTTCTCCTTGACATAGGTATATCTCATATTGACCTGTTGCTCCTGTTAATTGCTATTTCTGTCCATTTTGTCAAAACAGTGGTTTAGTTGTTGCCTCCACTTCAGAATACTCTCTCACTCTGACTTCTGTTCCTGTCACTATATTTTAAAAAAACATTATGAATGACCACCAATGACCTTATTCTTCCTATATTGTAAAATTTCATCTTCTCCTTGAAGCAGTTCTAGGAAATCATTGCCTTAGGAACTGGCTGGATTCCTACCACATATACTACTATGGTGGGTCCACTCACTACTGGGTCCCTTCCTTCATCTCTCTTTCTCCTGTTTCCTACTGCTGCTACCTCCTGATTCATCTACCTGAAAGACTGATTTTATCCTTTCACTCCTTCCTAGCTTTTTAACCTTGCATTCAGGACCTCATTTTCTGTCACTCTTGAACACTAGCTTTCTGATCTTTCTAGGTGATTTTCTCTGTCCCCAAAATAGGAAATCCTCAGTGATAACCCCAAGGCTTTGCTTATATGTTTTTCCTTCCGAAAATGCCTTTACCCCTTTTTTCCACTTAACCAATTTTTTCTGTCCTTTGTAACCTGGCCCAGTTCTCATTTCCTTCGTAAGGCATTCTTTGACTAACCATCAGTACCTCTGACTTCTTTGATATCTGAGCCACTGCTTTTGTGGTGCCTAATCCACCTAGTGCTTGCTTTCTCACTTCACTTGGAAGTACAGGTTTCCCCTGCTATCCAAAAGTAGAGCATTCCTTTGAAACCTTTCCAAAGCTGAAATGGTATAAAGCGAAGAAGCAATTACCATTAATTTACATGGGAAAAAGTTTTGAGCATTCCCAGACCCAAAAAATAACCTACCAAATCATACCAAGTAACACATAAAACCTAAAATAACAGTAATAGTAAATGCAGGAATGATATGGTACATATACAGCCTATATAAAGTAGAAATATTACACATACAGTGTAGTTTCACTTACCAGAATCGGGACGACAGCGAGCACACTGAAGGGCTGAGAAATGGTAGTGGTGATGGTAGCCCTGTAGCCTAGCTGTGACCGCCTGATACTGAGATACTGAGAGCAGTTCCCAGGGAAGGAGCTTGGCGACACCAATGTTGCTGCTCCGGGCGCGTGCTGCCTCTTTAGTGGCTCAGCTTGCTATAAAACAAATGTGAACGCTATTTCCGTTTTTTGCCGTTTTTCACCTTTTTTCATAAAAGCTAAAATCCTCTTCAGATTTCTTTCGGTTAGTGAAAACATGTACTAATGTAGGTTTTTCGTAAAAGCAAAGTGGCATAAAGTGAACTTTCGAAAAATGGGGGATGCCTGTATCCTGTCTCACAGCTGAATTTCAGTTGTTTAGAAGGCAATAACTTTGTCTTATGTCTCATTTGTGCTAAAAATAATTTATTGGGCATGAAGTAGCTACTTGGTTATACTGAATAAATGATTTTTAATAAATATTTGTTGTTATCGTGTGCCATCAGGTCAATCCCGACTGAAAGCAACCTTGATTACTTTTTTGGTTATCCTGTTTTTCTAGTTTTAAACTTTTAAACTTTTGAAAGTAGAGATAATTGAAACCTTTTTTCTTGTTGTAGAGTTTAAAGTTTTAAATCTGAAAGATACTATCTCAGTTGATAATAGGCAATTGAAAGAGGTGCAATGAATTTCCGCCTTCTCAATAAAATTAAAAAGATTTTTTCTTATAAAAGCAATACTGACTCATTGATAAAAAACCTGACAAAGATTTTTGTGTGTGTGATTTAGGTGTAAGTTTACAGAGCGTATTATTTTCTCATCCAGCAATTTGTACACAAATTGTTTTGTGACATTGGTTGCAATCCTCACAATGTGTCAACACTCTCCCCTTCTCTGAAAATATAATTTTTTAAAATTTAAATAAATGTTTTATCATCTCTCTTACCTAGGGAAAAGTACTGTTTATAGACTTTTTTGGTTATTGTATCATGGTTTCTTGGATTTTTAAAACTTAATTTTTTTATTGAGACATAATCTACATATAGTAAAATTTACTTTTTTGTGTACAGTTCTAAAATTGTTGACAGATGTACACAATCATGTGATTACCACCAAAATCAAGATATAGAAAAAAATCCATCATCTCCCAAAAATTCCCTTATGCCACTTTGTACTCGTTCTTTGCCCCTATGTCCAGCCCCTGGCAATCACTGATTTTTTTCTCTGTCCCTGTAGTTTTGCCTTTTCCAGAATACCATAGAAATGTAATCATTTTGGGTTTGGCATCTTTCACTTAGCATAATACATTTGAGATTCATCCATATTATTATACGTATGATTAGTTTTTTGTTTTTTTTTTTATTGCTGTGTAGTACTCCACTGTTTGGCTATACCACAGCTTCTTTATCCATTCACCACATAAACAGTTTCCAGGTTTCAGCAATTTTGAATAAAGTTGCTATAAACATTTAAGTACAGGATTTTGGGTGAACATAGTTTTTATTTCTTTTGAGCAAATTCCTTGCTATGGGGCTGGTGGGTTATATCGTAAATACATGTTTATCTTTATTAGAAAATGTCAAATTGTTTTCAGAAGTGGTTGTACCATTTTGCATTTTCACTAGCAATGTATGACAGTTTCAGTTGATCTGCATTCTCACCAGCACTTGGTATTGTCAGTTTCTTTAATTTTAGCCATTCTAAATGGATGTGTGGTGGTTTTTAATTTGCATTGTGGTTTGAATTTAATTTGTATTTCTCAAATGACTGATGATGCTGAGCATCTTTTCATGTGCTTATTGGCCATTCATGTATCTTCTTTGTTGAAGTTTCTGTTCACATCTCTTGTCCTTTTTTCATTAGGTAGTTTGTTTTCTTATTGTTGAACTTTGAGAATTCTTTAAATATTCTTTTCTTTTTTTTAATTGTGCTTTAAGTGAAAATTTACAATTCAAGTCAGTTTCTTATACAAAAATTTATACACACATTGTTATGTAACCCTAGTTGCTCTCCCTATACTGTGACAGCGTGCTCCTTCTTTCCTCCCTGGATTTCCTGTGTCCATTCAGCCAGCTCCATCCATTCAACCAGCTCCTGACCCTGTCTGCCTTCTCATCTCACCTCCGGACAGGAGCTGCCCATTTAATCTCATGTATCTACTCGAGCCAAGAAGCACACTCTTCACGAGTATCATTTAACGTCCCATAGTCCAGTCTAATCTTTGTCTGAAGAGTTGACCTAGGGAATGGTTTCAGCTCTGGGCCAGCAGAGAGTTTGGGGGCCATGTCTTCTGGGGTCCCTCCAGTCTCAGTCAAACCATTAAGTCTGGGCTTTTTGCTAGAATTTGAGTTCTGCACCCCACTTTTCTCCTGCTCCATCAGGGACTCTCTGTTGTGTTCCCTGTCAGGGCGGTCATTGGTGGTAGCTGAGTACCATCTAGTTCTTCTACTCTCGGCTGATGGAGTCTCTGATTCATGTGGCCCTTTCTGTCTCCTGGAGTAATATTTACCTTGTGTCTTCAGTGTTCTTCATTCTCTTTTACTCCATGTGGGTTGGGACCAATTGATGCATCTTAGATGGCTGCTCGCTAGCTTTTAAGACCCCAGACACCACTCACCAGAGTGGATGCAGAACATTTTCTTAATAAACGTTTTTATGCCAAATGACCTAGATGTCTCCTGAAACCATGGTCCCCAGATCCCCGCCTCTGCTACTCTGTCCCTTGAAGTGTTTGGTTGTATTCAGGAAACTTCCTACCTTTTGGTTTAGTCCAGTTGTGCTGACTTCCTGTAGTGTGTGTTGTCCTTCCTTTCACCTAAGATAATTCTTATCTCCTGTCTAGTTGGTGAATACCCCTCTCGCTCCTCTACCCTTGTAACCATCAAAGAATAGTTTCTTCTGTGTTTAAACCTTTTCTTGAGTTCTTACAATAGTGGTCTCATACAGTATTTGTCCTTTTGCGACTGACTAAATTTCACTCAGCGTAATGTCTTCCAAATTTCTCCGTGTTATGTTTCACGGGTTCATCGTTGTTCTTTATCGTTGCATAGTATTCCGTTGTGTGAAAGCACCATAATTTGTTTATCCATTCGTCTGTTGATGGGCACCTAGGTTGTTTCCATCTTTTTGCTATTGTGAACAGTGCTGCAGTGAACATGAGTGTGCATTTATCTATTCGTGTGATGGCTCTTATTTCTCTAGGATATATTCCAAGGAGTGGGATTGCTGGATCATATGGTACTTCTAGCTTTTTAAGGAAGAGCCAAATCGATTTCCAAAGTGGTTGTACTGTTTTACACTCTCACCAGCAGTGTATGAGTATTTCAGTCTCTCTACAACCTCTCCAGCAGTTACTATTTTTGTGTTTTTGGATTAATGCTAGCCTTATTGGGGTGAGATGGTATCACATTGTAGTTTTGATTTGCATTTCTCTAATGACTAATGATTGTGAGCATTTCCTGAATTTCTTCTTTGGTGAAGTGCCTGTTCATATCCTTTGCCCATTTTTTAATTGGGTTATTTGTCTTTTTGTTGTTGAGGTTTTACAGCATCTTGTAGATTTTAGAGATTAGATGCTGATCGTATTTGTCATAACCAAAAATTTTTTCCCAGTCTGTAGGTTGTCTTTTTACTCTTTGGTGAAGTCCTTTCCATGAATGTGTTTGATTTTTAGGAACTCCCAGTTATCTAGTTTCTCGTCTGGTGTTTGTGCGTTGTTACTCATGGTTTGTTATCTGTTTATGCTAGGTATTAGGGCTCCTAGTGTTGTCCATATTGTTTCTTCCATGATCTTTATTGTTTTAGATTTTATATTTAAGTCTTTGATCCATTTTGATTTAGTTTTTGTGCATGGTGTGAGGTATGGGTCTTATTTAATTTTTTTACAGATGGATAGCCAGTTATGCCAGCACCGTTTGTTAAACAGACTGTCTTTTCCCCAATTACCGGACTTTGGGCCTTTGTCAAATACCAGCTGCTCTTAGGTAGAGGAATTTACATTTGGATTCTCAGTTCTGTTCCACTGGTCTGTGTATCTGTTGTTGTACCAGTACCAGGCTGTTTTGACTATTGTGGTGGTGTAATAGGTTCTAAAATAAGGTACTATGAGGCATCCCACCTTGTTCTTCTTCTTGAGTAATGCTTTACTTATCCGGGGTCTCTTCCCTTTCCATACGAAGTTGGTGATTTGTTTCGCCATCTCATTAAAAAATACCATTGGAATTTGGATCTAGATTGCATTGTATCTGTAGATTGCTTTGGACAGAATTGACATTTTCACAATGTTGAGTCTTCTTATCCATGAGGAAGGTATGTTTTTCTACTTATGCAGGTCTCATTTGGTTTCTCACAGTAGTATCTTGTAGTTTTTGTTGTATAGGTCTCTTACGTCTCTGGTTAGATTTATTCCTAAGTGTTTTATCTTCTTGGGGGCTATTTATTGTAAATGGTATTGATTTGGTGATTTCCTCTTGGAAGTTCTCTCTGTTGGTGTAGAGGAATCCAGCTGATTTTTGTATGTTTATGTTGTATCCTGATACTTTGCTGAAATCTTCTGTTAGTTCCAGTAGTTTTCTTGTGGATTCTTTTGGGTTTTCTGTGTATAAAATCACATCATCTACAAATAGAGATACTTTTACTTCTTCCTCACCAATTTGGATACCCTTTATTTCTTTTTCTGGCCTAATTGCTCTGGCTAGGACCTCCAGCACAATGTTGAATAATAGTGGTGTTAAAGGGCATCCTTGTCTGGTTCCCATTCTCAAGGGGCATGCTTTCAGACTCTCTCCATTTAGGATGATGTTGGCTGTTGGCTTTGTATAAATGCCCTTAATTATGTTGAGGAATTTCCCTTTTATTCCTATTTTGCTGAGAGTTTTTATCATGAATAGGTGTTGGACTTTGTCAAATGCCTTTTCTGCATCAATTGATAAGATTGTGTGGTTCTTGTCTTTTGTTTTATTAATGTGATGGATTACATTGATTGTGTTTCAAATGTTGAACCATCCCTGCATACCTGGTATAAATCCCACTTGATCATGGTGAATTATTTTTTTGATATGTAGTTTAATTCTATTGGCTAGAATTTTGAGAATTTTTTTGTCTGTGTTCATGAGGGATATTGGTCTGTAGTTTTCTTTTTTTGTGGTGTCTTTACCTGGTTTTGGTATCAGGGTTATGCTGGCTTCATAGAATGAGTTTGGGAGTATCCATCCTTCTCTATGCTCTGAAATACTTTAGTAGTAGTAGTGTTAACTCTTCTCTGAAAGGTTGGTAGAATTCTCCACTGAAACCATCCCGGGCCAGGGCTTTTTGTTTGTTGAGAGTTTTTTAATTACCTTTTCAATCTCTTCTTTTGTTATAGGTTTATTTAGTTGTTCTACCTCTGTTTAAAAATATGGAATGCTTCACGAAGTTGTGTGGTATCCTTGCGCAGGGGCCATGCTAATCTTCTGTGTATCATTTCAGTTTTACTGTATGTGCTGCCGAAGTGAGCACTCTTCAAATGGTCTTGATAGCACTCCTTTATTAAATTTGTTTTGCAAAAATTGTCTCCCAGTCTGTGGTTTGTCTTTTCATTCTCTTAACAGTGCCTTTCACAGAGCAAAAAATTTTAAATTTGATAGTTCCCAAGTTTTTAATTTTTTCACTGATGGATTATGTTTTTGTTATATCTAAGAAGTCTTAGCATAACTTCAGAAAGCAAAGCTTTTCTTCCATGTTTTCTGTTAGAATTTTATACTTTTAGGTTTTATAATTCTGTAATTCATTTTTAGTTAATTTTTGTATAAGGTGGAAGATATAGATCAAAGTTTTGGGTTTTTTTGGGGGGGTGTTGGTTTTTTTTTTATTGTACTTTAGGTGAATGTTTACAGAACAAATAGTTTCTCATTAAACAGTCAGTATACATAGTGTTTTATGACATTGGTTAACAACCGCACGACATGTCAAACCTCTCCCTTCTCGACCTATTTTTTTGGTGAAAATGTACATTGCCAAAGATAACACCATTTCAAAAATTTCTTCATGCACAATTCAGTGACTTCGATTATGTTCTTCCAGTTGTGCTGCTCTTCTCACTTTAGATGAAGGTTTACAGAACAAAATATTTTCTCATTAAACAGTTAGTACACATGTTGCCCTGTGACAATGGTTAACAACCCCACTACATGTCAGCATTGTCCTTACTCAGCCTTGGGTTCCCTATCACTAGCTTTCCTATCCCCTTCTGCCTTCTAGTCCTTGTCCCTGGACTGCTGTGCCTCATTAGTCCTGTTTTGTTTTATGGGGCTGTCCAATCCCCGGCTGAGTGGTGGACCTTGGAAGAGACTTCACCACTGAGCTAAAAGGGTGTCCTGGGGCCATGCTCTTGGGGTTTCTCCA